AACTAGTGGTCAGAGGCTGAACTACAACATAAAAATGAACGGTTGGCAAGAAGGTTGACATTTTAAACCTTAATAAAAAATTGATACAGGGCTTTAGAATATCGATACAGTATTGGGAAATGAAATATTGCGGTATTTCAGTGTATCGACATTTTCTTACACCCCTAATATTAATTATATTATATCCGGTTATGTCAAAACAAATAAGAGCTGAAGACAGGCAGCTTTTCATTTAGTTTACACTGAAAGCAACATTTTCACAATTATTTTAGATTAGGTGACATTACCATGATGTGTTTGTTACCTGTGAGTTTTATTTTGGAGAGTTTAGCGTAGATATCTGGTAACTCAGACGCATCAAATTTCAGCTGCTTCCACTGTCTGTCGAGACGTCCCTGCCTCACGTCCTCGGTCTCAACTTGAACGTGCGGAGTTTCATCTGGAGCTGCAGCGGGACGGGACTCAGAGCCTTCCTGCGCTGCTGCATTTCCTGCGATGAGCTCCGAGGTGGAGGTTCCAGGCCGTGGCTTCCTGCTGACATCCTCCGACTGCGGAGCAGGATTAACAGGTGGGATTCTCTCCACCTGCCTTTCGACGCCGTCATCTCTTTCATCYTCAACGGTCTGAACATGAGTTTGTTTGGGGACGGCACGTTGGTGAAGCTCACTGTTGTTTTTTGCTACATACTGGAAAAACAAAAAGGACAAAAAAAAAGCCAAAAGGATTCAGAATAGCCATGTACAAAAACAAGAAACTCATCTTAAGTTTTGAGGGAAAACAGACATSCTTAAAAAGCAACATTTGTGATGAAAAACACTAGAAGAACATCYTTGTGCGGTGAAATTTACCTGCCGCTTTAGAAAGCTGAGATGCTGATACGTCAGCCAGTTTGAAGGATCTCTTCTGTGCACATGAAAAAGGCTGCGAGCCGTTTGATTACACCGAGGAGCAATCTGAGATAATTTTTGCTTCACATTTACACCAACAAAGCCTGCAAGAAAATACGGTTTTTAGTCCACGCACAAAATATCGATTTCACAGTTAAAACAAGCAAACTTGCACAAAAATAAAACTGCTTAATCTGATTTAAATAAAGAGGAACAGATCACCATAATAAAACAAAACACGTGCAATCAAAKAATAACATGAAATAAAATATAAGAAGTCAACACATTTCTGTTTGCATCACATTCAAAACACATCCTGTAACGGAATTAATGGAAATAAATTTAAGTATCATACTTGTTATACTTTCAGTTGCTAATTTATAGATACTAGAGTTCATTAAACTCAATTAAGGCAATTTAGGTAGGTCAAAGTGATYTTGATTGACCTACAATAATTTATAAATACTGTCCGGAGCTCCCATTGCTGAACACCGGCGATTTCATGACAAAAYCACAGTTGATTTGCAAAAAGACATCACTCTGCTTGAACGTTTGACTTGTCCTCAAACAGTAGCTAGCATTTCCTGCAGCTAACACACGCCCACCCTGCATTATTGTATGCAAAAGTCGTATATTTGAGAACACAAACAATATAAAATACAGCGGCAGTGAGAGAGAAGCTGTTTTTGCACACATGTAAGCAATTAGCATCGATCTTAGCTTAGTTTCAGTCTCTGACTTTACCAGAAAGCTACATGCTAAAGATAGCTTCCGCTTTAGCATCAGCGCAGCTAACAGCGCAAGCGTAACACAAATGAATTAAAAGTGCAACAACATGTTGAAGGGAACGTCACTGTTCTCAAGTAATTTACCTGATAGTCTGCTACATGGCGTTTTATACATGTTCTTGAATCATAAAGCTGACTTTCCAGCACGACCCTTTACAGCCAGTGAGCCGCCATTTTGACCACATTGAATGGGTAGGAGGAAGTACTTCCGGGTCATGAAAAACTCACGAAACAGTGCTGCTGTGAAAGCTTCTGTACGGTTTAAAAAATATATATAATAAAGTTGTTTTTATTAATTAGGCTACTGAATGAATGCATCACAGCGCTAATGCAAAAATAAAACAATGTTCATGTTTTTGTTTGTTGTTTTTTTTGTTTTTGCTGTTTAGTGGCTCAGCGTCACGTGACCTGGGGAAATCAATGAGCAGAGTGCAAACAAACGCTTTATAAACGTTCAAATGGCACAAATACCTTTCTATAAACTACATAGATTGTTAC